ATATATATATATATATATATATATATATATATATATATATATATCTCAAAAATTATAATATTGAAATAAAAATGCTATTGGCTCTTTAAAAATTGGGATATTTGGTAAATAGTAGCTTTTGGCTCTTCCGTCCCAAGGGATTGCCGACCCCTGATCTTCAAGAATGATCCAAAACCACAATACCATTAGGAATGTCCCAGCAAAGGGATCCAAAATTACAAAATCATATAGAACAAAGAGTAACGTTAACTGAAAGTGATCTTACTTATATAAAATAATTTGATATAATTTTATTGTCTAAGCTTCCATAATACATATGAAAGTTTAATTTTGTATAATTTAAAATACAAACTATTCTCAAGTTCTAATCGTACTCTTGTTTAGTTTTATTCGGATACATGTTACAATGCCATTTAAATTTGCTAAAAAAGCTATGTTTTTACTCAGTTTATTTATTGGTTGCAATGTGTTTTTAATTAACTCCCTTATATTAGATTTCGACTACGGCCAATTTAATTCCGAAACCAAATATGATATTATGATTACTTAGGAGCTGTTTCAATTTAGTTTTAACTAAAGTCAGTTCTTTAAAAAAAAATTGCCTATTCTAGCTTATTTATTTATTTATTTAATTTTTATTCCGTTCTTTTATAATTGTTTTTTAATGACGTATTAATCAAGGTGTGGTTTTGTTGTTTTGTAAGGCTAAGCTAAGCCCGTAGAACACATTTTAGTAGGCGTTAAAGGGTGTCAGTTTTGATTATTATATATGAATGTTTAGGAATACATAAACATATTTCTTACTAAATGCTAGTCAAATAAATTGTTAATAAAATAAGCAATAATAAACTGGACACACTATATAGATGGTTGGTGAAGATATGTTTATAAAGACAGGTTAGGGCAGCCCTAATATAAATCATGTTGACTTACAGCGCAGTGATATAAACATGGACGGGTAGTTCTTATCGACGACTCAACCTTGCTGGTTGTTTCTGTTGAAGGGGCGTCTCGGAGTTTGTATGAAATTGTCATGACAAGTGTGTGTGAACTTATTACATTAATTTAGTGTTAACTTCTCACATTATATTGTTATCAAAATGACCCGACCTCGCTACGCCACTGGATCCATCACTTCAAGTGACCCTGCTAACTAAATATATATTTAATTAACCAGACAATTTGACCAGACATCGATAACATGGAGTGTAAGCGATCTGACCCATACCAAAAACATGTACTTGATTGTACTTGCTATCTTTGTTTAATTTATAGCAAGTGTTAACAATTTCGTTTAGGCCGAAAATCAAAACTGAGTCCAGTTTAATTTAAACTATATTTTATTTTTAATCATGTATTATAAATATGTATTCTAATTCAATTGCAATCGCGAGTCTAATATTGTTTTTTCAGTTTGTTTGTTTTTCGTAGCTTAACATTTAAATTTAGTTTTAAACAATCAATTGCAAATGTATAGCCACAGACTTTAGATTTCGACAAAGTTTTGGCTTCCTATCACAGTTCGCCAGACTATGTAGTTTAGAGTTTAGACTGTAGAGACATCTAGTTCAGTTTCTATTTCACGTTACAATGTTTTTTCTCAAGTTTTACTAAAATAATTTTTACGTAGATCAAACAGCACACGATTCATTAAAAAATAAAATAAATCTTCTCTAGTTTATGTCGAGTAAAAATGTGGTTTACCATCAACAGAACAGCTTTGAATTTAATACCGTCAATCAGATAGGTTTATAACATTTTGACGAACTTACTGTCTTTGTGTTGATTTTATCACACTATCACATGGGCAAGAAATAATAAACAAAAGACGAGTCTTCGATTTGTTCATTTATTATCATGACATGTTTACATAATTCTCATGACACGTTGACCTACATTGTCATGACATGTTCAATCAAATATTGCAATGACATGTTCACATATATTATCATGACATATGCACAAACATAATGAGATGCCATGTCCACACACATATAGTCATGATATGTCTACACATATTGACATGCCAAGTTCAGACCACCTAGAAAATAAAACGAGATTTGTCACGAGAAGCAATAAATCTTTACAAGCTCCGTGATTTCACAGATTTATGTTCCATATATCAAACAACATACGGGTAGGTAATCAGACAAACTGCCTTGGATAATGTTATGTTACCAAATATGGGAAACAACTTAAAATTGGAATAAAAAAATTTGTAATGAAGACTTCTCGGATAGCAAGAGCCTTTTCTTCCGTATTTGATTTCCAGTTGGTCAAACATAGTGAGTTTGTTTTATTTAGCATGTTTTAAATAGCGCCTAACATATAAAGGATAACAGCCGGGCCTTTTTTCTCTTGCACGATAAGATATAACCTAACAGACATCAACATCATAGTTGTACATGATGAAACGTTTTCTCTGACACGATAAGATAAAACCTAACATACATCAACATCATAGTTGTACATGATGAAACGTTTTCTCTGACACGATAAGATAAAACCTAACATACATCAACATCATAGTTGTACATGATGAAACGTTTTCTCTGACACGATAAGATAAAACCTAACATACATCAACATCATAGGTGTACATGCTGAAACGTTTTCTCTGACACGATAAGATATAACCTAACAGACATCAACATCATAGTTGTACATGGTGAAACGTTTTCTCTCACACGATAAGATATAACCTAACAGACATCAACATCATAGTTGTACATGATGAAACGTTTTCTCTGACACGATAAGATAAAACCTAACATACATCAACATCATAGGTGTACATGCTGAAACGTTTTCTCTGACACGATAAGATATAACCTAACAGACATCAACATCATAGTTGTACATGGTGAAACGTTTTCTCTCACACGATAAGATATAACCTAACAGACATTAACATCATAGTTGTACATGGTGTAACGTTTTCTCTCACACGATAAGATATAACCTAACAGACATCAACATCATAGTTGTACATGGTGAAACGTTTTCTCTGACACGATAAGATATAACCTAACAGACATCAACATCATAGTTGTACATGATGAAACGTTTTCTCTGACACGATAAGATAAAACCTAACATACATCAACATCATAGGTGTACATGCTGAAACGTTTTCTCTGACACGATAAGATATAACCTAACAGACATCAACATCATAGTTGTACATGGTGAAACGTTTTCTCTCACACGATAAGATATAACCTAGCATACAGCCAGTAGTCGGAGTTGACTGTGTTTAGGGCTGCCGGGCTATGGGAGACAATTCCTGAGTCGGGGGTGTCCGTAAAGGAACAAAAAAAAAAGGTATTGGCTTCTAAAGTAGATTTGTATATTTGTATAGTTATATTATTTGTTTACTATTTCTATCATTATAGCAGAGCTAGGTAAAATACTTTAATATGTTTTGTGCAAAATAGTAGTATACCTTTTAAGTATACATTTTTTTTCATATTTAAAGCTATTTATTTCAAATCAAAATTCAAAAGTATATATCTAATCCTAATCAAATGCCAAAATCATATTGAAATAAACATGTGTGTGAATCTTTAAAAACAGGGAACTTAAGTAAATTGTAACTTTTGGCTCTTCCGGCTCTAAAGGTTGCCGACCTCTGGTGTAGGTGTATTAGTGTGTTTTGTGGAAAAAAGCTTTATTTTATTTCAGATATAAGACCTCTTAACCTCTAGTCGGTCAAAATAATATAAAACATGAAAGCTTTGTATAAGCAATGGTGTCTCGTGTTATGTCTATGTTTCTTTTTATTTATATTATTGCTTTTTTATACATTTCCTTTTACAATGTCATTCTTTAGTAAGCTTTTTTAAGCTGTAGTTCCACCACTGGTTTGCACACCTTATTTTAGTCTAAATCTAATGCCATTTTATTTTCTCCATTTGATTACTCTATATGCAATTTATGTTCATGTCGTTGATGCTGTGTAAAACTATCAAATAAATTAATATTACTGATTTAATGTTTAAAACAATTAAATTATTTTTTTTTAAATCTCTTTTGGGACTGCTAAAGATATAGATGTTTGAAAGGGAAGAATGTTTGATTTGATGCGTCTCATTGTAATAACATAACTTTTCCGATTGCTTAAAATGTGTAGCATTTTACTTCTCTGTAAACACAAATTTATTTATTAAAAGCCCAAATCCCCCCTCCCCTCCTCAGCCCTAATATTTTTAAAATTATTTTAGACTTGTCGCCGGATTGAGGAATTAATTTTTTTTTTTTTTTGATGAGAAATTAATAATAACAAAATATAAACTACGACAACGCAAAAACCCATTTGGAAACAGCGTTGATGTTGTTGTTGTTGTTTTGGGGTTTAAAGTCCGCTTTCAAACTTACGTTTATATCGCAGACTATTTTTGGTGGTTAGTTCGTGGTTTTTGTGTATATACAGTTTGGTTTCATTTGTTTTCCTTTCATTTTTGGGTGTAGTTTTTTTATTGTGCGGGATTTGTATTTTGTTATTGGGTGAATATTATTTTATCTTTACAGCTTATTAGACTGATTCTTCGGTTTTGTGCACATATTTTTTTACCAGGCTAAGCAGAGTGGATGGGGCGTCCATAGCCAGTAATGTTTCTGTTGTTAGTAATGTGTTTTTGTTTATCTGGAAGTAGTTGACGAGTTCTTTTCTTTGATTGTTGTATGCCTTACAGTGTATTAGGTAGTGGTCTATTGTGTTTATTTCATTGCAGGTGTGGCACCATTTCTTTGTGTGAATGAAGGAGGCTGAACCTAGACGCAGCCTTGTAATTTTTTTATTAATGGGTGGCCGTTGGTCTTCTGTAACTTGCAGTCTCCCGTCGGGTGGTCGAAGTATGTTGTGGGCGTGCCTACCCTTGTCGCTTGCGTTCCATTTTTGAATCCATTCTTCTTTTATTTGTTTCTTTATAGTAGCGACATGGCGGTCAGGCAAGTCCATCACAAAAATTAACAGGGAGTTACAGGCGCAGCTGGATAAAATGATGGAGTGGATGAACCAATGGGGTTTCAAGATAAACGCATCCAAAACGGTAGGAATGGTCTTCACTCACAAAAAATCACGCAACATCACCAAACAGGTCTCACTAAAAATTAACAATACAGTCATAAAAATAACCCAGGCCACAAGGTTCCTAGGAGTCACACTTGACCCCATGCTGACCTGGAACACACATATAGAAGGCATAGCACAAAGCTGCAAGGGTATGCTCAATATGATGAGATACCTAAAAGGTCACAGCTGGGGTGCCAGGACTGAGTGCCTGTTAACCTTCTACAAATCGTTTGTAAGGGGCAAAATAGACTATGCCAGCATAGTCTATGACTCGGCCTCAAACTACTCAAAAAAAACCCTCGACAAAATACAGAACCAGGCCCTTAACATAATTGCCGGTTGCAATAGTAGTACCTCCAAAGAAGCCCTAGAGGTCCTCCTGGGAGTAATCCCCCTCTCACTCCGCAGGAAGGAACTCAGGCTAAACTACTGGGCCAAAGTAAAACATCAAAACCACCCAACCTCAGCGGCCTTCCTACCAGTGCTACCCAGGGCATGGGGAATCCCCATTGGGAAATTCAGCCCCCCCGCCAGCTGGAAAACACCGGGGGAACTGGAATCCTGCAACCAAACCTCAATCGCGGATCAAAACTTAGTCATCCACAAACCTATAGTCCCCCCGTGGGAACTGACATCCCCATCATTACACACAGACCTGCACAATCAGATAAATAAAAAAGAGGACCCAGTAATGGCCCGTATTGAGGCTTCAAATGAGATAGAAAGGATAACAGCCAACAGCCTAACCATCTACACAGACGGATCAAAAATAAACGAGAAAGTTGGAGCAGGGTTCCACATCCCCCACCTCAACCACTCCAAAAGCTTTAGGTTGACAGACGGCGCCTCCATTTTCACTGCCGAGCTAACGGCCATCCTTATGGCCCTCGAGTACGCCCCAACAACCCCACATACCAGCATCAGCATATTATCCGACTCCCTGTCAGCATTACAGGCCATTAAAGGGGGAGAATGCTGCAGGGACGACATTGCAGAAGAAATTCTTCATAAATGCTCCGAGTGGAAACAAAGGGGTCGCTCGGTGCAAATGATCTGGATTCCCTCCCATATCGGCATACAAGGTAACGAGAATGCCGACAAAGCTGCTAAAAAGGGAGTGGAATCCAGAGCTATTGTGAAAACGGGAATAGGCTATTCCGAAATGAAGTATCATAAGAAGCAAGCGATACAGTTTGTACTAAATACATTTACCTAATTGTTCTGTGTATGTGTGCTTATTTTGGCCAACATTTTAATTTTTATTTAAGACATAACTCAAATTTGATAATAAATCAAAATGTAGATTATTTTGCTTTTATATAATTTAGAAGTATTTTCTTATTGAGTTTAACATTTTAATAAAAATATATATTTACTCAGTTTGTTAATTTTTTGCAGCTGCACTTATGAATTACCTCCCTTATATCGTTTTAAATGGAGGCGAATATATAGCCATAGATTTGCAGAATGATTCCGAGTAAGATGAAAAACTGCAAACACAATTTTGGTGTAGTATTCATCATTCATACCCAAACGTAAAATTGATTGACTTTTCGAGAATATATTTTCAACACTATTCTTCGATTAAAAAAAAGATAATTATAATGACATAGGTTGACGTTAAAAAAAAAAAAAATAAAAACTAAACCACTAAAGTTTAGTGAATAGTATGCAATTTTACTTATGCTATTAAAACAGTTATCAAGAGTAGTTCATATAGAAAGTCTACTAGAACATCTTATTTTAGTGCTTATTAATTTTCACACTAATTTCGGCTTTTTAATTCTATGGTATTCGCGGGGTACTTACTTTTTATAAAAGCGGGTCGCCACTCGAAAAAGTTTGGGAACCACTGCTGTAGAGGATGATTGAACATGTATTGTGTCTTACACGGATCTAGTTGTTAAAGTCGGATGAGATTGTAACATAGCAGATTATACAACCACTTCAAATGTGTATGTTTATTATACACTGTCGCTTCATGGAAGGCGTGTAGCGAAAAAAAGAGTCACAAACCTTTTTTTTTTTTTTGTTTAAACAATGGCAAATGGCAATAGCCCTAACGAGAATAACGAGAATTATTTTGTTGTTGTTAATTATTGTCACTGACAAACTTTCCTCTTGTTACTGACTAACTTTCCTCTTGTGTTTCACTAACTTTAGTCTTGTCTCGCACTAACTTTAGTCTTGTTACTGACTAACTTTACTCTTGTCACTGACTAACTTTAATCTTGTCACTGACTAACTTTAGTCTTTTTACTGACTAACTTTAGTCTTGTTACTGACTAACATTAGTCTTGTCACTGACTAACTTTCATTTTGTCACTGACTAACTTTAGTCTTGTTACTGACTAAATTTAGTCTTGTCATTGACTAACTTTAGTCTTGTTACTGACTAAATTTAGTCTTGTCACTGACTAACTTTAGTCTTGTCACTGACTAACTTTAATCTTGTCACTGAATAACTTTTGTCTTTTCTTTGACTAACTTTACTTTAGTCGTGCCACTGACTAACTTTATTTGTTTCACTTTGCTATTATAAATATGTATAAGTCTTTTGATAAAACAACATTTGAACATAAAAAAAACAAAAAAACTGGTAGGTCCCATCGACGATAAAAATGGAATGTATCTCTTTGCTAATTTTCAACAATAAGGGCATATCATTAGCGTCGCTTGGTCGGGTTTCAGCACCTCAATGTGTGATCCGCACCCCTGCTCCCTAAATCAAACGAAAAAAAAAAAAAACTATTGAAAAATAAATAAAGAAAATATAATAAAATAAAACATTACAAAGGGGATATTACCTTAAATTATTATTTTTTTGTTTTAAATCAATTAGTTTATGGACATATTCAACAGTAGTAAAATATCACGTTTGTGTTATGTCTTATCAACAAAACGTGAATCCACCAGATCCGGTTCCTTGTAACATCAACTGTGCTGGACATTGGAGCATCACTGGAACCACAGCTCGTATCCTTAATAGACCTTTTGTCGAGGTGCTCGACTGTAGTGCAGGGGTCGGCAACCTGCGGCTCACGAGCCGCATGCAACCCTTTTGATGTCTCCAGCTCCTTGCACATATATTAATAGTTTTTAATTATTTCATTTTCAAAACTCATAAAAAATATTATACTTGTAACACATATGGTTAACAGCCAGGGGAGGGAAAAATATGAAGTTTTAATTCATTGAGTTGCGGCCCCTGTGGGGTCGTGGCCCTGTTGATTTAGTTGTTTTTTTCATGCTCCTGTGAGCGATTTTACCTGTGGGTAGTTTCGTGCCTAGCCGTGTCAGACACACGCAAGCCTGCTGTCTGTGGACACGGTGACCAAGATGTAGACCTAATGAAGGTAGTGTAGTTATTTAAATTATGTTTGTTAAAATACTTATTTGTGTATTCCTGCTAGTGCTGCATGTGCACACTAGTTAGGGTGAGTATTAATATAAGTATTTATTTGTAGTACTACTTATTGGTTCTTGTTGGCAGTACTGTGTACTGGCCGAAACATAATTTATTGTACTCGTGTATATTGTAGCCTACACGTGGTGCTGTCATGAATGTAACTTTTTATTTACATTTGTTTTAGGGCTACAGTTTATTTTTCTTCTTGGCTAGTTTGTTTTGTACTGCTGTGTTGCATCGCCGTCATGGCTCGATGCTGTAAATAAAGCGAGTACTTGACAACAACTGTCGGTGTCGGTGTGTACTTAATCTCAGGGTCAGCCCGTCTTAACTACAACACCTCAGTGGGTAAAAGCATCCCCACTGAGTGAGGGTTACATACTATAAAGAAACACAACTTTAAACAGTATAAAAACACTCATCAGAGAACAGTGACAACATGTGGAGTAGAGAGTACACGGACAGCTGACAGCCGCTTGGGCACCAAGCCCAGTCCCAAAGCCGTGCTGTGGACAGCCGTGGCAACAGATCCTTACTTGCTACTGCCCACGTGCCGACATTTTCGAATAACGTTACATTTGGAATGTTATTTTATTCAGAAGGCATTTCCCTGTCTGTCAGTAATCCTTAATTTTACGTGAGTGACGTTGTTTTTTTAGTTATTAGCTTCCTAGCGTTGAGCCGGGTACTGGACGGTGGTGTACGAATCTACCTTGCGGGGGGGGGGGGGGGAAAGGGCAGATATCCTGCGGGGTGGCAGATAAGCCTGGTGAGAAGCAAAGGACAGATGCGACCGATACACGGTAATCAAACCAATATCCAAGCCCGTTAGTCGGAGTTTGCCGTGTTGAGGCCTGATTGGTTAATGGCAGACACCTCCTGAACAGGTCGTGTCGATAAAAAAAGAAAAAAAAAGTTAACAGCTTCTAAAGAGGATTGGAATAGCCCCATTTTTCTGGCGAAACGTGTATTTTTTAAATGAATAAATATTTTGTTCATAGTTAAAGCTTTTTATTTTAAATGACAAATCAACTTTCTTTACCTAATCCTAATCAAAAACTTAAAAATGAAATAAAAATGTTGCTCTTTAAAATCTGGTAAATTTTAAAAAAAAAATGTAACTTTTGACTCTTCCGTCTCAAGAGGTAGCCAACCCCTGCTGTAGTGTCATCAATGCATTTTTTTAAAATCCGAAATCAAAATTTAACGTCGGGATCAGCAATTATATAAATAGTAAGTGAAATTACTTATAGCAAACGATTATGCTAATTTTTTTTTCTGGTTATGTGTATTTAATATGTGTATTTAATACAACTAGCATTTACATCTTTTAAAACGAAATCAAAATATATTGTTACAATCAAATTGAAATATATTTACATTTAGAAGATAAAAATAATATTTTATTATCTCTTAGTTAAACTTGCTATTAAAAAATGTCTTTGCTTTTATTGTTGATCATTTTTTTGCAAATACATTTCTTAAGTAACTCCATTACGTTTAGTTTTAAATAGAAACGAATTTAAAGCCGAAAACCTCAATGTTATTGCGAAATCACTTTAAGGTTTAGCTATATGTAATTTAATGAATCAATCTGGTTGTAGCGAATATTAATTTAGAAATATTTTCTCCGCTATAACTGGGAAACCGTTTATTTTATTTTATTTATTTATTTTTAGTAAATATTACGTTCCCGGTATCTTTTTAACAAATAGTGAAACCATCTTATTCGCTTCTATACCTTATCTCAAATTGTGCTGGGATTTTGAAGAAAAATATCTCTCGCACCACAGCCCGTTTCTCAAATATAGCTTGTGTTGGAGGGCTCGTTTGTAGTTGCACCACACCACTGCCTTGTAATTTTTTTAGACTTGCCGCCGAATTGGAGAATTTTTTTTTCTTTTTTTTTTTTTTTTTTTTTTTTTTTTTTTTTTTTTTTTTTATTGGAGAAAATTTTTTTATTTACAACAATTACCACAAGTACCTATCACCATTGAGAGTAAGCGATATAAAATATATACCAAATACATTTAAGTAATTTTACGGTGTATGTATGTTTATTTCAGCTAAAATTTAACTTTTGCCTTAAGTAAAATCTCAGGTTTTAGTACTTTTTTATACGTCGTTTTGTTTTATTTTATAGCAAAAGACAGTGTTTTCTGTTTCAGTTAAATATAGGTATATATTTTCTCAGTGTATATATTTTTAAAGTTGTATTTATACATTACCTCCCTTGTATAGTTTTAAATGGAGGCTAATATGTAGCCAAAGGTCTGTGTGTCGTGAAATCAAATATTCCGCTAAGTTTCATTTAAACAATTGTCCTTTTATCAAATCTACCAAACCATTGAACTTAATATATTTGTATCCCGCCAAAACATTTGCTGTAATAGTTTATCTGCGGTGGTTAAATTAGATTGTATGGATACGATTATGTTATTTGCAATGACCAGCGTTAAGGTTTGAATAGCTAAATCAATATAATAACCACACAATTGGAGGCATTTTGATTCTATAGTCGCCTCATTTTAAAACTAATGGTAAATGAGCTAATACAAAAAAAAATTGCAGAAGATGAATAAACAAAGACATTTTTTTAATAAATAGAAGATTGAACTGAATAATAAAATATATGTTTTCGTTATATTCGAAAATAAAAACTATTTGATATTTTATTTTAGGCTTTGACCTTTTAAATAGAAGATGTATAAAACACACATAGACCGTAACATTTCGTAAATACATTTGTTATAGGCCAGATCATTTACTCTTGTTGATAACATATTTGAAAAGTGCCTTAACTAGTT